TGCAGGACCAGTCGAAACCGTTCCAGACACAGTGCCCGCCACCCAGCCAGCCTGCGGCACGCAGGGCTCCTCGTGCAAGACTGACTGCACGCTTCATCTGCACGGACACTTCCTTGGCTCACAGATTGCTCTGGAACAGTGGCAGCACTGGGTCACTGGGTCAGCCAGGCACCCGCAGCAGCAGGGGAGCGAAGGGGCAAGCCCAGCAGGGTGTTGGAAGGGCTGGAGGAGGCTGCTTCTCCTGGACACCGGGACCGAGGGGCCATGGGCTGCGGGGGTCGCTCCTTGAAGACGCAGCCAGAGGTCCCTTCCGCCCCAACACACACACACACACACACACACACACCCTGTTAAACTAGCATTCGTTGCTAATGACAGCTTAAGACTTCCTCTTTTCACTCTTAACTTTTCAGAGTATAACTTACTGAAAACACTGCATTTCACTGGATGAACAACCCTCATCTTAGTGGTGCTAAGCACTGGATGGAGGGGTTTCATCCACTTGACCAATTACAAATTTAAACTTCTCTGATAAAGGGGCGCCTGGGTGGCTTAGTCCCTTAAGCATCCAACTCTTGATTTCAGTTGATCTTGATTTCATGATCTCCCGGTTCAAGAGTTGGAGCCCTTAATTGGGCTCTGTGCTGACAGTGCGGAGCCTGCTTGGGATTCTCTCTCTCCCCTCTCCCCCTCTCTCAAAATAAATAAGCAAACATTAAAATAAGTTATAAACCTCTCTGATAAAAATATAAGGAGGCTCCTTTATTTCCCTTTGTGTTAAAAAAAAAAAATCTATGAAGAGTTTGAAACTCACCTTCAAAAGGGATCAAGAAGAACGATTTTTAAAAACCCAAGAAAAACAGGCAGATTTCTTGCCAGCAGGAAGGTCCCACTTCGTACAGTGGGAGGTTCTGCTGGGGAGAGGGGAACGTGTGTGTGCCATGTATATTTTTAGGGAGTTGCTGTGGTCTGAATATCTGTGTCTCCCCAAAATTTATAAGTTGAAACTGTTAAAAACATTTTTTAGTGATTATTTTTGAGAGAGAGAGAGAGAGCATGAAGGGGAGAAGGGCAGAGAGAGAGGGAGACACAGAATCCGAAGCAGCCTCCAGGCTCCGAGCTGTCAGCACAGAGCCCTATGCGGGGCTCAAACCCACACACCATGAGATCATGGCCCGAGCCGAAGTCAGACGCTTCACTGCCTGAGCCCCTCAGGTGCCCCTGTAAGTTGAAACTGTTAAAATAAAAACCACATCAAGACCAGCCTTGAAAATTCCCCAAGCAGGAAAAAAAACAAAAAACGAACAACAAAAAAAAAAAAACCCAGTTTAGTCATACAATAAAGCCTGATTTAGCTTATTTTGCAAGGCTAGCTTGACCTGGGTCATTTCTTGCTTCTGCCTCTGGAAATTATAAGCAACATGTGACCTGTTTCCCCAGGATAATGTGAGGTAAGCACTGCCCATTTCCTTGTCACTTAAGAAACTTCTAGTATTATAACCCATCACTGTAAAGAATAAGCAGTCACTGCCCCCACGCTGTCTAAGCTGCTTTATAACAATGCACGCCTGAGCCTCCCTCTCATGCTTCGGTTTGAGGGCTCCCAGTTTGCAAACTGTCTTTTTGGTGCAGGCGCAATAAACTTGTACTAAGTACTACCTCGGTGATTCGTTAGTTTTACTCCTGCAAGTCTCCATCAATGAGATTCCCACCCTGACCACAGAGACCCCAGAGAGCTTCCCGGCCCCTTCCGCCCTGCGAGGACACGGCACAAAGTCTGTGGCTGGGAAGAGGGCTCTCACCAGCCCCGTCCATGCTGGCATCTCAGACTCCCAGCCTCCAGAACCGTCAGCAATCAATTTCTGTTGTTTGTAAGCCAGCCACTCTGCAGTATTTTGCGATACCAGCCTGGACGGGCTAAGACTTCCCATTAGGGTACAGAATAATTTTCCTCTGACTTTTCCCATGTGAGTTCGCTGAAGGGGTTCCCTGAAAAAGAATGAAGTGCAAAACGTAGGACTGACTCCTAAGGTCTCAGAGAGGGGAGCCTGGCCGTCTCCCTGTCTTAAATGAACACTGCACACCGACAAGAGACAGTCCATGTTGATTCTTAAAACCCTCTAGAAGGGGTGTTGCTAGGGCATCTCTGGGCCCCCCTCATCTTCGTGTTCTGTGTGCAGCCCTCCAGAGGTATCTTTTTTCATTAGACACATTGAAGACCCCCTATCCCTTCCCCACACTGTCACCCCCAACACACACACACACACACACACACACACACACACACACACAGTTGACCAGACCACAGTTCCCTGGCTCTCTAGAATCCTGACTTCTCTCCACAACTAATTCCAAGGCCACAAACAACAAAGAGATCATCCTGGGCCTCTCTGACCCCACAACAGGCCTAGCATTTTCCCCCTCTCAGAGTCCAGCTGACTGAAGTATGACATCAAGCATTTCAAAGAATCCAGACCATCCCTACAAGGCATCAAAAAGCAATAGCCTCATTCTTCCATCCACCCATGCTTCTGGCTTCTTCTCACATGAAGTGGCTGTCACTGTCCTTAAGATTTGTGGGACCAGAGTGTTCCTGTCCGCCAGAGAGGGCTCCCTGGGGAACACCCGCATCATACCCTTTGTTGTGCAAAGGTGGAATAGGATCCCAAGCCACTGCACTCTCTGCCCTAGTAGGGAGACTCTTGTCCCAGCTACACGGCTGCCAGTCACAGTCCAAATGCCCACGTCCCACATGCCTTGTTAGCTGTGTCCGGCCTCAGAAAGTCCTCGTTTTTGTTACATTCTCAATAACTACCGAGAACTTCTCTCAAGTATTCCAGAACCTCCCTTCAGAAATAGGACTGACTATTGGCCCTCACCACCTGGCTCTGGTCAGCAAGGGACACGCACTAGATCTGCAGCTAAATGCAAGTTCTCCGACTTCACCAACACCCCAGCTGCCTCAACAACACCTTCCCATCCTTCAAGATCCAGCCCACCCACCGCGCAGTCTTCCAAAGTCCTTTCCTGATATTCCACCCGTGTGACCTTGAGCAAGGATAAAGCGAATGCTGGAACTTACGCACTTCCTCTACCCTGCAGGTGTCTGTCGTGGCACCTGTGATTGGCGTATGTGGCTTCTAGACTAAAAGCTGCTTGCAGATAGGGACCATGCCTCGACTGTCTGCTGTCCTAGCATCTAACGATGTCTGAAACACAACAGATGCTCAGCACATGTTTGTGACATGGATGAATGTATAAATGGCACAGGCAATTCTATTTGTTTAGGTTTATTTACTTATTTTGAGAGAGAGAGCACGCGCACACGAGCGCACACACTCACGTGAGCGAGCTGAGAAGAGGCAGAGAGAGAATCCCAAGCAGGCTCCGCACGGTCAGCACAGCGCCCGACGCGGGGTTCCATCTCACGAACCGTGCGATTATGACCTGAGCCGACATCAAGAGTCAAGACTTGCACACTTCACGGACTGAGCCACCCAGGTGCCCCTGACATAAGCAATTCCGAATCCGCCTGAGCCTTCTGAAGATTCCTACTCCTTGCAGTGCTCAACCAGGCCCAACGATCTCCCTAAGTCTTAAAGAAAAACATATTAGAGGCCCGAAGGAACGTTTTGTCCGCCTCACCCCCTAGCTGGTCAGAGTTGCCCAGACACAGAGATAGGCCAGAACGGGAGCAGCGCCCTGTGTGTGGGACACGGAAGGCGGCCCAGCCACACTCTCATGTCCGCTGTGTGTCATCAGCCACCCCCCCCCCCCCCCCCGGGGCAAACCTCTTGGATAGTAGACTTTCCACCGCTTCTTGCCACATCTTAAGCAAGCCCGGACCCCTCCCTGGTGGGGTGCCAGTCACCAGGCCTGGCAACAGAAATCAGAGGTGGCAGCGGTGTGGCCGGTGGGCCTGTCTACCCAAGAGTGGCACTGGGCCTGAGCTGGAGGCCAAGCCGCCCCAGGAGAAAGAAGGGACCTTCTGACCCGTCCCTTTCTCCCAGTCCTTGATAAGCCTGTCACTTCCTAGGTGACAGCTGCAGTGAACACAGGAGGACTCGAGTGTGAAGTCTCTCAGCTCAGGGAGAAGACGACATCCCAACCTTCCTCTCGTTCGCATCGGAATGGTCTTTTGAACTTGATTTTGAGCTTGAATCTGACCGCATCACTCACCTGCTCCAAATTCCTCAGTGGCTTCTTTTGGGGGGAAATCAGACCACCTCTGAAAGGCACAGGAGATCTTTATGACCCGTCCTTGCCTGCCTGTCCCCCCGTACTCACCAGACTGGCGCACGCCTCTGCCCCGGCACACGCCGCCCCCACCACAGCAGAAGCCCCTTCAATCTCAGCCTCAAGGCTCTGCCCTCGGGGTTCCTGCCCCTGCTCCTCACACAGATTTGGGAGCTAGGACCCACTGCGGGCTGTGCTTTATGCTTCTACCGTTGTAGCGAGACCAGCTTCACTGTGTCACTGTGTCGCTGAATCACCCCAGTTCTTCAGTCTTGGTCCCTACCCGCCCCTGTCCTTACCTGCAAAATGGGGACAATAATGGAACCTGTCTCCAGCGTCGGTAAGAGGGCTGAGCCCGGCTGGGGAAGCTGCCCTAGGTAGCTGGGGAAGTGAGCCAGGGAAAGGAAGGACATCAAGACAGGAGGTATTCGCGGGCAGGTTACCCCTTGGATCACCCGAGCTGCTGGGAACCGCTGGGAGAAAAGGTGTAGAAAGAACACTCTCAGCACAGTTTTTCCTGGGCGGGTAGGAAGCTCCTCACCCTCCAACATTCTGCCCAAGCAGGGCTGATGCTTCAGGCCCAGGGGGCGGCTGGGACACCTAAACAGATAATGTCATTACAATACATCCCAGTCATCTAAGACCGCAGGCGTGCCCTCCGCTCCCGGCCACACGCTCCGAGCCTCCCCAGCATCCCCGCGCTCACTTCCCAGAGTTGGGAGCCTGCGCACCTCCCGGGGCCCAGGGCACCGGACCGCGCTCACCTTCTGCAGAAATGCCATCCTCGGCCTGTACTGTTGGCCTTGGTGTCGGATCGTCATCCTGGCCCCCGGGTGGGTTCGGAACCGGAACACCGGCGGCCCGCAGGGGGTGGGTGGGGGAGCCCCCGGCGCAGGCGCCCGCGCGCCCCGCACCCGCCGCGGCGTCCGGGGGGAGGAGGGCGGCCCGGAGCGCGGGCCGGGGGC